GGGAAAGAGCTCATCTTCTGGTATTCTCAGCCAGCAGCCGTGTATAACAAGAATATACACTAACAAAAAGATCCACACTTCCATGGGCGGCTCCATAAGCAAGAGAGAGAGGGAAGTCATTTCAAGTGGAAAAAGAAGAAGAAGGGCGGCCACAAGAGGAGAGAATGAAGAGAGAGAGGCGATGGTTTTGGCATGGAGAAAGGAGAGGAAAAGACTGAAGGAGGAGGTGAAGAGGCTGAGGAAGAAGGTGAAGGAGAAGGAACAAGTTGAAGAGTGGGAATGCGTGGTGGTGAAGCAGATGATCTTGGAGAGAGCACTGAGGGACGAGGCTGTGGAGAGGTGGAAGAATCTATACTTAGCTATCAAGAACCAGCTCGATGATCTTATTCAGACAACTTATGGTCGGTGATTCTCGACATTTCTTCTTCATATTCATAAAAGCGTGGATTTTTAAAACTGGGTACGCTGATGGGGTTGCAGGAGAAGGGTTGCAATGGAGACCAGACGAGGAAGGAGTGAAGACAATAGAAGAACTCAGACAGGAACTGGAGGTAAAGGAAGAAACCATTGGAGGGCTCAAAGAGAGAGTAGCTTTGATGGAGAAACAGCAATATGGAAATCAGAGAGAGATTGATTTACTGAGACAGAGTTCGAGAATAATCAGCAGCCAAGGCATCAGCAAGAAGGAGGAGTCATCACCTTCCTCCAGAAACCTGTCGATGTTCAGAAACACGTGTGTCGATCGAAAGTAAATAACGTATCGTCATCTCTGAATCATACTCAAAGAAATGCAGTGCATATATATGTATATGTATTCACGTGTGAAATATTCTAGAATGAAGAAAACTCCGTGAAAATCCTCAATAGACATCCAGAGATTAGATTTGCCCGACAAAGAATGAAGGTGAATAGAGCAGTGAATGAAATTGCAGGGGAAGCCATGGCAGGAGGAAGAAAACAGAACAAAAAAAAAACCCTTTTATTACATCTGAAATCCCAAATCTCAAACACGAAACTCAACAAAAAAGAAAAAAGAAAAAAAAAACCAGAGAGGTTTTTTTTCTATTTATTACAAGCATAAATTAAAGTAAATAGAAAAGAGATTGTAAGGTCATGTCTTCACAACTCATTTCTTCTCGTTCATGCCAAGAGTGTTCTTGACACCTTCCACTGCTCCCTGTGCCATGTTCTTCACTTGCTCTCCCGTCTTAATCCCATAATCCAATCATTATATGAAAAGTCAACACCATAGAGAAAATTAAACTGATATTTTATTCGAAGGTTCCCAACATATTTTTGTTTAAAATATAAGAGACAGAAAACACTAATTAATGGTGACTGTCTTTACCTGCTGTAAGAAACCAGAAGCTTGTTCTTGGCCATGTTGGGCCTTGTCCCGAGCTGTGTTCGCAGTCTCCTTGGCAGATTCTGTCCACTCCGAAGCTTTCTCCTGCACCCACAAGCAAAAAATCAAACACCCAGAAAAAAAAAAGACAAGACATTATCAGAATCATTTGATGATAGTTTCAGCATCAGACATAAGCTTGGCCTTTGGTCTGGCCTGCCTTGAAGGATTGCTGCATGTTCGACATGATGGTTTTGGAATTCTAGAGAGAGAGAGAGAGAGGGAGATTGGTGGGTTTGGTTTGATGATTACGGGGGAGAGTGAGTGATGGGATGAAGCGTTGGGGAGAGATGGTGTTTATATAGTGGAGGAGGTGAGGTAGATATGGTTATTAGTGCTTTATGCATTGAGTGGTGAATTAAAAAATTTGTGGTCATCGCGCGCGTTTAGAGGGAGATGTGCGGTTTGACCGTTACCAGAACTCACCGTTTGTTTCGTTTTTTTTTTTTTTTTTTGACTTTTTCTCTTCTATTTAAAAAAAAAAACGAAGATATTTTTCTTTATAATTCATTTAATTGTTTAACGGTCTAAAGTGAACTGAATTAATGTATAGATAGAATGGTATCCGAATTGAGTCCCATAAAAAAAATTGAATGAGTGTAATTTTATTTAAATTGAAAAATCGAATACAAGTCGAATGTAGAGTGTCAATGGAGTCGATCCGAGCTCACTCTCGTCCCGAGAGTTTCAGACTTAGACTCAGATCGATCCCATTTGTTTGAGTCTGTATAATCAAGTCAGAAAACCCTGCCCTATAAACTTCGGATTTAGCCCGCTCATTTTTTTTTATTTTTTTTTCAATTATTTTTTTTAGAAAAATATATCTGATTTTCGTTATGACTCAAATTGAATTCGAAAACCGAATTAAACCCGACCTGAAAATCCTATTTTTTTGGGCTAAAAATTTTAGGTATGAAACTCGATATTTTTCGGGTGGAAACAAATCGGATTTTAGGGTTCAAATCGAAATTGACACCTCTAATCGAATATAAAAAACAATCGAAAAAATAAAAAATTTCTACGAAAGATTAGATTTAGATATAAACAAAAAAAAAACGAATTTGGAGACAACCTTCACTTTGTATTGTAAAAAATAAAAAATGAGGATTATGCATAAAAAATTAAATATCTTGAATGTTGCGTGGTTTAACTTTCGAACCTATCATTTTCGATTTCGACCAGATTAATTTGGATGGAAAAACCAAAACATATATACATACACGGCTTCAACATCGATGTGTTATAAATCATATGAACATAACAGCGTCAACAAAACCAAAACTCAAAACTCTCTTTCTAAACCTTTGTTTCAGCTTTTCTTGTCCCTTTCTCTCTTGGAAAGCTTTCAACCAAAAAACTACCTTCACATGATTCGTGGAGCCCCCCTCCTTTCTTTCCTTCAAAAATTTTCGGATCGAAGAATCGATTGAACAAAATCCCGAGAATGGAATGCCACTCTGCTAGCTCGTATCGGATAATACAGAATGGCGAAATGAGGAAGGAATAATGAATGCTGCCTCGTCAGATAAGCTTGCTCGTCCTTCTTCTCGATGGCCCTCCCGGGAAGAGCCTCATGATCCATACTAGAACTCGTTCTACGACCTGACAGTTCCATGGAGGATGAAAGGAGGATTCATAATGAGAAACAAGATTTATTAGTGAACAATATGAAAAATACCTCTAAACTCTAAACTCTAACCCCTAAACCCTACCTCGTCGCCTTCATCTGCGATTGGTTTAATCTCATGTACGAGATAAGAGTCCTCTGGTTGCTGCTTTATAGATGCAATATTGTCGTTAGCCATATTCTGTGCAGTTAGAAGCTCGAGTCTCTGCGTCTGGACTTCGAGTTTTCTGGATAACTCTTTGTTCAACTCCTACATTTATGAGGACACATCAGGAAAAAGAAAACACTAACTTGAGAGAACAGGAAAACACGATGGGATTAAAAAAAAAAACTGCATCGCTAAATCATTACAAATCTACAAGAACTGTTTATACACATTTGAGAGCAAATGTCATGAGGGTTAGAGATTAAGAATGAAATAGCATATAAGTTCAGATTTTAAGAACTGGATTCGTAGTTTATATGCTTGATATTGAATCAGTATAAATTTTTCATTTTTGAAAATAAAACTCTTGCAGAGATCAAATAAGAAAAGTATTCAGTTTATTGTGAAACATGCATTCTGAAGAGAATGCAGTTGATGTTCATATACCTTCAGCCGAGCAGTTTGAGATAACTCAGCTGTCAAAGCTTGCACCAGTTCCTCTTTCTCCACAGCCAACTGTCACATACATTTACAATCTTAACAAGTTATATAACAGAAACTTTCAGTATAGCTAACTTTTAGATGCTAAAAAATGTGATCTTACTCCTTGCTATCCAAAAAGTATCGATTCTCACGAGAAAAAGAAAAACTGAACTAACAATAAACTATTTCCGTTAATACAACCTCAGCAATCAGTGCGTTAATGTTCTGAACCATTCTCATCTGATCAGGTGGGATGCTCAAAGAAGATCCATCAAGAGAAAATTGATGATCACAGTCAGGCCCCATAGTAGTATTTGACGAATCACTTTCAGATTGAGTTGTAGCATGTGTTTCCCGGCTCGAGCTCTCCAGCATGCTATCTGACATTTCTGGGTCAAGCAAAAAAAATCATAGAACGATGACACAGTTCCAAGAGAAGATCACACTCCATGAATGGACCACAGGGTTCATAACTAGTAGCCTTTGGAAGATGTGGGTTTTTTTTTCTTTTTCCAGTTTTTTGGACTGAACGCATAGATGAAGTTTAAAATTTGAAAATTTTTGGAAGGTTACAAGCTTAAATATCGTCTAAATGGAAAATGGTTTTGACTTCCTCTCCAACTCACGTATTACCGTTTAACATATAGAGCATCTTTACCTAGATCTTCTGTAGAAGTTGATGTCTCTTTTCTGCTCATAGGACTTTTGCCAATATCAACTGACTTTCCACTGGAGGACGCTTTGCGAAGCATTGTCTGCAAGATCTTCTTCTCTGCAAAAGTAAAAGGAAAACAAAAAGAATAAGCATCAATAAAAGGATCTACACAATACAATTACATTAACTTTATGGAAAATAGAATTACTATGCTCACCCTCATGAAGGGCATTAATTGTGGATTGCAAGTCTTGACGATCTTTCTCTAAGCTAGATAGCTTTTTCCTGTGTACATTAATGGACACTACAAAGGTGACTCAAGACATATGTATCCACAAAAAAGTCGTACTAATCACAGCTTGAAACCCCTTTGTCCAGCATTTCTTGTTTCATTTTGAATAAAACACCTCATAAAGGTAAAGACAGAACAAAAAAAAAGTCAGAAGCATACTTGTAAGATGACATTTCTGCATGTGTATTCTCCAATTCTCTCTCCAACTTCAACTCATTAGATCTGAGTCTTAGTGCCTAATAAGTTTCCACACAAAAGATAAACATCAATAATAAATAGATAGTATCTGACGGTACAGAAAAGAGAAATAAGATGAACAAATAACAAAAGCAAAAAGGATGACCCGTTCTATGAATGTAGCAAGTCATATTCAAATAGAACATAATGTCCAAAGCCTAATACCTTATCTTCCAAACCGATGACTTCAGCAGCCAATATTTTGGAGCGTTCATCAGCAGCATTGCATTCTAGTTGCATATTTGTATACTCAACTCTGACTGACTCGAGTTCCACCTGTAAAGAAAGTGTATTAACCAAGTATAACTAGTAAATTTACATAGACGACTTAAGAAATGATTCAGCTGGATAAAGAACAAGCAAACAAGGGATTCATCCACCATCAAAGTCCCAGCTGGCCATAAAGTTCTACATTTCGTATAAAAACATCAAGTAAGTCCACATCATATGAGTGAAGCAATATACAATTTCAAGGAAAAAACTTCATGGTAAGAAGAACAGGCAAATGGAACTTATTGACTCCATGATATTGATACAAACCATATGTGCCTTGATTTGCTGTTGAAGCTTCTCTATGTCATCTTTTAGTTGGTTGACAATACTTCTCTGGATAAATTGAGGAGGAAACGTTACACGAGAGAATAATTAGAAATATCCTTGAGGGGAATATAAACATTATGTGGGTCAATGGGCACCATGACTTAACAAATAATGCAACACAAAATATTCATTGGCAACGACCGTAAAAGGTCCTTATTATGTCAATCAAATTGACATCTTAAAGAACCTTATCCCAGATTCCTAACAGTTATCTTCATCACAGATGCAGATGCAGTAACAATCTCCTTGTTCTAGAGTTGCTTAACTTGGAACTTTAATCAAGATCATGATGCTTTATAGGACAGACTCAATGTCCATATAATACATCCACATCATGAAATATAAATATTTGCATATCCTAAATATACCAAAAAAATAAGGAATGTCTACTCCTGGGAGAACGACGAAAAGTAGAAATGACAAATCAAAAGCCAAATGCAACAGGAGTAATAGTTGAATGCTGTTTCCTTAACAAACGATCACTACTCTGAGCATAACAGTTCAGATCCACCAGGGATGCCTTTAAGTGTGCATGTACCTGCTGGTTATAAGTGTCCGTCAGAGATGAATTTTCTGAAGCTAAGGACTCCGCCAGAGCACGTGAAGCCTCGAGAGCCCTTTGCAGCGAAAACTTTTCTTGTGTTAAATCCTCAATATGCTACAGATGAAAAAATGAAACCATTCCTCAGCAAATATGCATAACTAGTGAAAATAGTGTAAATAGAAGAACAGTGAAAGATAGCATCTTTACATTAGACATATATATGTATACAAAACAATAAAGAAAGAATATGAAATTGCCTGTGCAACATATAAACTACATATTTTACAAACTGTTTGTCCTTATATGACATAATGTGTTCCTTCATCAAGTTAAGAGAAATTTCCCAATTAATTCTTCCCAGTCCGTACTATGTTTACTTGTTGTTATTCCACAATTAACCAAACAGACCTGCAGCTGTGACAAACAAATCCAAAAATCTTTACAATGATTCATCTGTTTATGATATAACGTGTTGATAAGAAATTTTTCCTAGTTGGTTCTTCAATAGACCATAATCATGTTTTCTCGTTCTCAGTTTTCACTATTCGCCAAACATAACCTTCCAACTTTTATGTGGCTTATCACCTGTCAAACGGACAAAACGCTGTCAGGGAAGCAAATTACCTGTTCGAGGGCAGCAAAATCCTCATCTTGTTTTGGCGGGGGGATGAAACTCGGCATAGCTCCATTGACAAACAAAGAACTCCCAGTCCTTTCAAAGGGATTAGTGAAAGTCGATGCTCCCATCGTCAAGAATGGTCCATTTGTGTCTTTTGTTCCAGACAGATTCTGGAGAGAAGCTGATCCAAGACCATCACTGCCAGCTAGCTGGAAACCACCAGATCCCGTCAAACTTGCCTCTGCCTCGACATGTTGATGTTGAGGCTCTGAAGCTCTGGAAATATTGAAGGAATCAAGGAAAGATGGGCGTGACCTTCTGGCACTTGTTTCATTTTTAGCCACATGAATCGGGGAAGAGCTTCTGATATTTAGACTGAAGTCTGAAGACTCAGAAGGCCGAGAGGAATCGTCTTGAAGACTAAATAAATAACTGGTAGATAGACTTGGCTTTTGCTCCATGCTACCTTTGAGTTCAGAACTTCCATGCTGTTTTTTTCCAACCTCAAAAACAGACCCTGTCATGTTTGTAGAAGGTTGTAGAGAGCCTAGCAAAACAAACGTAAAAAGTAACTCAGCAGTTCTCTTCAAGGAACAGAAAAGGAGAGAACATTACATCATTGTATCTCATATGACAATGGCATACCTTCATTGGATGAGGTTAATCCGCTGCTGTAACTGAAATTTTCTGTTTGAGTGGACATGCTTGGCAGTAGAGTGCTCCCGGGAAAAAGGTGTAAAGGTTTCTCAACACCATCACTTGCTCTTAGACCAAAACCACTCTCATTACTTCGGCTTGCCTGTTTGTCTAAATTATAGGGTATACTTTCAGGTTTACTAAACACTGTTAAGTCGTTTGAAGAACTTTGCATCTCTATGCTACCAAAGAAATCGACAGCACCAGCTGGTTGTGGTGCATCATCTTTCTCACTTTTTTCGTTGCTTCTATCACTCAAAGCTAAAACTGAAGATGACGAATCGTACCCCTCTCCAGAAAATGAGGATTTGATACACACTTCATTTGAGGAAACTTGATGATTTTCATTGGATAGGCCAACAGGTCCATTAGACATGGAGGTAACAGCTCCATTGGTTTCTGTAACTCGTTGGTGTCCAATTTTTCCATCAACAGGCTGAGGCTTGGCCCGGCTGTTCGATGAAGCTTTTTTGGCTCGTTCAGCTGCTTTTTGCTTGCGAAATTGCTCCAGCTGAACCCACGGAATTAAAGGTGCAAAACATGTTTTATAAGATAATTAGGAAACAATCATCTGATGAACAAACAACGGTACATTCCATAAGCACACGCAAGGAGAGGTTCACAGCCTCTGAAGAACACATTTGCTTTACAACGGCAATGAAAGATCTGAAAGCAATAATTACATCATCTAAAGACCTAGAAACTGAGCCATATACATAGAAGACAAAACCTAAACCTTGGGCATTTTTGCAGTCAAATCTCATGGTAGATTATGAGACGTAAACCCTAGTGTCTAATCTAATTGCATACAGAATATTGATTCCAATTTTATCCGGTGCCGGTACAAGTTAGCTTTATCGGTGCAGATAGATTCTACATAAACCCAGACTAAAAATCAACAAATCTAAACTGAATTGAATTCAAGGCTTAGTATATGGTAATGCAGAGCAAAAGGAGAATCCCAGGAGGGGAGACACAATTTACCTTTCGCCTTCCAGCTTCAGCGAGCTCCTGCTTCCGCGAACTCAGCAAAACCTGAGCTGACGCCATAGAAACTCACGGAATCTCTCGGGAAAAAAAGAGTTTTCCAAATCAGAACCGTCGAATTACCATTGAATCCGAGAAGCCATACGAAACAACTTGGTCCGTTTTCCTACTACCAAATCCTAAAAATCCACAAACAGCTGATTTCGAAACGGAAACTCGCGGCTAAAGCAATTAAACTGAGACCACGAACCAGGAGCCCAGATCCGCCCACGCGATGATCGATAAGGGGAAAGGTGAAATTTTTGAAATAAAAGGACAAGATCTCGAAAAAGGATTCAACGGTCGAGTGAAGTCTTCCGAAAAAATAGCAGATTTGAAAAGAAAAAAACTGCAACGGAAATTCGGGGAGCACGAGAGAAAATTAGGGTTCTTCCGATCCGATCGAAGAAGAGGAACAGAGAAATATGATGTTTCTTGGAATTATAATTATAAATTTCTGTCCCAATAATATTTATTCTTCCTTTTTCTCGAATATTTTTAAAAATTATAAACGTTATATTAATGAGTGTTCGTGTCACGATAAATTACATTTTATTATAGGATAAATCAACATTTTGATTTAATTTCTTCTCATGTAATTAATTCTGCTATTAGCTAGGAAACATTAGTAATTTACAAATTACTACAAAATTACATTGTCAACAAAAAAAAAAAGCTATTAGATAGGATACATTCGTAGCTTATACACATAGTCATCCACATTACAAAATTACTCTTAATTTGATTTACAATTGGGTTTGACCATATAAAAAAAATACCAAAACGTTTATTTTAGATATCTGAATACAAAACATTTTTGGGTATAAAACAAGATATTCTAATTTTTTAATTTCAATTTCATACATATATAAAGCAAAAATATTGCAATAATTATACAAGAAAATAGATTTTTGGCAAATCTTCATAGCTTTTTTAAAAAAAAATAAAAAGGGATAATATGTAAAGAAAAATTGATCTCGTAATTTCGAAAGATTGTTGAATGGATAATCTTAATAGGGATAACCCAAAATTGAGATATAAGTGGAACTCTTAAGTCTTAACAACTCCGACAACGTAAAACAGTTGGCTAATGGGTGGTATAGGGAGGAACCGATTAAATTAGTTGTTAGAATTAATATTTAACAATATACGAAATTATTTGAACAATTATTTTCCGTTAATTTAAATATAACATTTGTACGATTTTCCAAAATAATAATTAAAAGGACCTGAGAAAATTTCTTGAAAAAAAAGTAACCGGGGGGTTGTGAAAAAGTGGATTTCAGGAGGATATTAAACCCTAAACCCTGAGAAGCGGCATTGTAACCAGAAGCTCCTGTTTCTAGAGTCTTCTCTTCCTCTCTTCTCTTTGGTCTCTCTCTCTGTACAATTCTCTGTGTGCCTGTGCAGTCTCGTCTCTTCTTCTCTCCCACAATCACCATGTATCGTTTCGCTTCTAATCTGGCCTCCAAGGCAAGGTAGGTCCTTTTGTTCTTGATGTGTCTTGGGATCACTTAAATTTGATAGAAAATGGGTGAATTGAGAAGAATGATGATTTGGGTTTTAATGGGTTGTCCTCCATTTCCTCTATTTCTTTTGATTGATTTTGTTTTGTTTTCCTGTGATTTCTCTGCTTAAAAGCATGGTTTTTTCCCTCTGTTTTCCATCCACAGGGTTGCCAGAAACAGCCGCCAGGTAAACACCAAGTATTTTCTCCGCATTCAAGATGCTGGTTCTGTGATTGCATATTATGATAAATCATGTTTTTTTTGTGGAGTTCAGGTTGCCAGCAGAATGAATTGGAGCAGAAATTATGCGGCGAAAGACATAAAGTTTGGGGTTGAGGCTCGAGCTCTGATGCTTAAAGGTGTTGAGGATCTCGCTGATGCTGTTAGAGTCACCATGGGTCCAAAAGTAATGTCTTTTTATCCTTCTGCTTACATATTTCTAACTGATTTGGATGTGATTTTGGTTAGAGATTGATTGATTGATTCCCCTCTCAATATGGAACATTTATACATGAATCTGAGTTTCACTTTCACGTCCTTGCCTTTATTTCCTACTATGCTCAAGATTCCGGCTAAAACTTTGTGATAATCAAATTTTAAGGGACGTAATGTTGTGATTGAACAAAGTTGGGGTGCTCCGAAAGTGACAAAAGATGGTGTAACTGTTGCCAAAAGCATTGAGTTCAAAGACAAAGTCAAGAACGTAGGTGCAAGTCTTGTGAAGCAGGTTGCTAATGCCACAAACGATGTTGCTGGAGATGGTAAGCATATACACCATCTTTTGAGATTGCTTTAGTATATAAATGTTTTTTTTTAGTTGGAGAAACTTCGGATTTGTTTTAACAAAATCTCTGCTTTATGTGTCTTCCAGGTACTACTTGTGCAACTGTACTTACCCGGGCGATATTCACTGAAGGATGCAAATCAGTTGCAGCCGGGATGAACGCCATGGACCTGAGGAGAGGTATTGCAATGGCGGTAGATGCTGTGGTGACAAACCTCAAGAGCAGGGCTCGGATGATTAGCACATCTGAGGAGATTGCTCAGGTCGGGACCATATCAGCTAATGGAGAAAGGGAAATCGGTGAACTGATTGCAAAGGCTATGGAGAAGGTTGGCAAAGAAGGTGTCATCACAATTCAAGTAAGTGAGAAATGTGTGAATAATTGCTTGTCTTCTTCTTGGTTGATGTCTTGTCCAAGCCATTGTCCTCACACATTTCTCACGTGTTGGCAGGATGGAAAGACATTAGTTAATGAGCTGGAAGTTGTCGAGGGCATGAAGCTGGACAGGGGTTACATTTCTCCTTACTTCATCACAGATCAGAAAACTCAAAAATGTGTAAGCCCATTTGAGAAATATGGCTCTGTTCTTTGTAGAATTGATGGTATAGAACTGATACAATAGAAATTCACTGATTGCAGGAATTAGAAGATCCCCTCATTCTGATCCATGAGAAGAAAATATCCAGCATCAACGCTATAGTCAAAGTGTTGGAGTTGGCTTTGAAGGTACGCAATAGCTTGTTTATAGTATGACTTGCCCATAATAGATCTTGTCTGAAATGAGTCTGTATAATGTTTTTGTGGTTTCTACGTTTTTTTTAACTCACACAGAGACAAAGACCCTTGTTGATAGTCGCTGAGGATCTCGAAAGTGATGCCCTTGCTACTCTTATTCTCAACAAGCTACGTGCAGGACTCAAGGTTTGTACAATTCAAAGCTTTCAAGTATGTTCTCTGCTGATTTTCAGGAATGGTGATAACAATATTTTCTTCTCCGTAGATCTGTGCCATCAAAGCCCCTGGCTTTGGAGAGAATAGGAAGGCCAATTTGCAAGATCTTGCTGTACTTACTGGTGGAGAGGTAGAGAAATGGTTGCATTAAGTACGGCTTTTTTTGCTAACCTTGTAACTCAATTTATAAATGAGTGTTGTCTTGCTTTAGGTTATTACAGAAGAGCTTGGGTTGAACCTTGAGAAGGTGGATCTCACCATGCTTGGCACCTGCAAGAAGGTATCCTTTCAAACCTTAACTGATGTCTTGTGATAGCTTTTTTTTTCACCATAAAAAATGTAGATTAGCTATAACATTTCTTGATTTTCTCCGATGGGTTTGATTTTGATGCAATATTTGTCTGGCCACTGTAGGTTACCGTTTCAAAGGACGACACTGTTATTCTTGATGGATCTGGGGACAAGAAATCCATTGAAGAAAGATGTGAGCAGGTTTGCTTATCTTGTCAGTTTGTTTATCTTTTAAGCATGCAGAAAATGGCGGAAATGTGCCATAGACCCTTATGATCTATTGATTTCTGTTGCAATGAACAGATTAGGTCGGCAATTGAAGCGAGCACCTCAGATTATGACAAGGAGAAACTTCAGGAGAGATTGGCCAAGCTTTCGGGAGGAGTTGCTGTCTTGAAGGTTACTTGCTTTCAATCTTTCTGCTGTTTCATTACAATATCCAGCCAAAGTTGTGTTGTTGTGTTTTTCAAGATGCAAGATACTAACTTTCATCGTGGAAATCTGGGTTTGGTTTGAAGATTGGAGGAGCAAGTGAAGCTGAAGTCAGTGAGAAGAAGGATAGAGTGACAGATGCTCTGAATGCCACAAAAGCTGCAGTAGAGGAGGGTATTCTGCCAGGTATTGTGAGAAAAACGTCTTTTTTTATGTAAAGTTCAAAACTTTGTGGATGTATACTGAAAGAGTGACCCGACAACAACACAGGAGGAGGTGTTGCTCTTCTCTACGCATCCAAGGAGTTGGACAAACTTCCTACCGCCAATTTCGACCAGAAGATTGGCGTTCAAATCATTCAGAACGCTTTGAAGGTTAGTAAAAAATCTCTTTCTGCAAACCCGTATGATTCATGGAAATCTTACACATGCACTATTGCTTGTAACGTTAATCGTGGATACCTACTGGCCTTTTGAATGCAGACACCGGTTTATACAATTGCTTCAAATGCTGGAGTTGAAGGAGCAGTTATTGTTGGGAAGATCTTGGAACAAGATAACCCAGACTTTGGTTATGATGCTGCTAAAGGTAACAACACTCAAAATACCATATTTTCCATCATTTCTTGTCCCTTTTTCTCGTTGAGATGCTAACATCAATGGCGGTAAAACTAGACGAATACGTGGATATGGTGAAAGCCGGCATTATAGATCCTCTGAAAGTGATCAGAACTGCTCTTGTAGATGCTGCTAGGTAAGAAAAAGCATTGATCTTTTTTTCTGGTTTTATAGCTCTTTTTTCTGTTTTTGACTGAAACGTTCTCTGTTGTATTTTGTTTATGTTCTTTTTCAGTGTTTCGTCTCTCTTGACAACAACCGAAGCAGTGGTTGTGGAACTTCCAAAGGACGAGAACGAGAGCTCCGGTGCCGCAGCTGGAATGGGCGGAATGGATTACTGATGAAATAATTTCTTTTCCATTTTCACATTCCGACCAATCTCTTCCCAGCTGAATCCGAATCTGAATAAACAGATGTGATTGTTTTAGTTCTGTCCTCTTGAGTTCTAGTTTGGGATACAAGTTTCAGAGAAATGGGTTGTCTCTGGCCAAAAAAACAAAAACAGAAAGGCAGCATGTGTAACCATGAAGAGAAGAGAGGGACAATTGTCTTCTTGTACGGATAATAATGAATTGTCAACAAAGTTTTCTTTTGATTTACATACATCTACATCACTCTGCTTTTGATCTGGATTTGATCAAATTCAAAGGTGGGGTTATATACTGGATATTTGGAAATTTGAAATTCATTGAATTTAAAATATTCGAGTAGAAAGTTTTGGGTACCACAATTTGTTATTCTTATTTACATTTAAAATTCGAATCAAAAAATTATTTGAAAATAATAGATCTATAACATGTTATTTTATTATCACACGATCGGATCGAACCTAAAGTTATTGGAAATTCGTATATGGAAACAAAATTATAAATACTGAAATCATAAAAAAAAAAAAAATCTATTATGTGCTAAAAAAAATCGGTATCTAAAAGTTAGACATCCACTGTTGGTTTGCAAATGTGGTGAAGAAAGGGAAGAACTGAAAGTTGATGTATCTGGTCAGTGAAAAAAACACAAGACTTTTGTCTGGGACCTTACTTACATACAGTTTACCAGAAACTCTGACAAAAACCAGGATTCGGCAGTTGATGAGTTCCTTACTTCTACAGGATTCAGATATTTTCTCAAACAAAAAAGTTACAAATACCATTTTTTTTTGGCTGACTTCATCGGCCTTTCCTGCGATGATTCTTGAGGGAGGCGCAATCAGGGCAGTACCATTTTCCCTTTGGTTGTTCCTTCAGCCCGACGCATCCGAAATGGAACCACTCGATCTTACACTGCAAATATTAGAGAGAAGGCCCGAGTTTTCTGATCAATTTCCAACCCAAGAAACGTAATCAAGACACTTTTAAGATGATGTATGCTGTAAAGATGATGTTTGGTTCGAGTTATTTTCGCTTTAATGCAAATGGTATATTGTTGCAAAAGCACTGCTTTTAGCTGCGGCTTGTGACTGCAATACTGCAACTAGGGGTGGCCAATTCGGTTAATAACCGAATACCAGATAATCGTACCCGACCCGAATAAGAAAGTTGGCCACCCCTAACTGCAACAATGGAACTGAACTGGCTATTAGAGTTAAGCATCGATCGGTTGGGTGTTACCTCGTTATTATCACAAGCGATCATCTCCCCGTAGCTAACTTGGTTGCAAATGCAGTAAGTGGGCTCATTCGGATCCACGGGAAGATCCAAATCCATCCCACTCGGATTCCCTGCCGAGGCTGACGCAGCCGCTGTCGCTGCTGTTGAAGCTGCTGCTGCTACAGCATTTGCTGTTGCCAATCTTGTCCTGTCACAAAAATTTGAGCACTTTTTAAGCTGAGAAGTGTAAAAAGACATCGAAGTGGCCGAGCAGAAAGAAAGATGAGATCTTTCCACTAGAAAGAGGCGAAAATCGAATTCTACGTATAAATAAGAAACCAGAAAAAAAAAACATGTTGCAACGAAGAAAAACAACACACACTACATGGAAAGGGAGAGTGCTATGTAGGCTGTGAAAGATATACGATATAGATGAGATGTACATACTTTTTACGTCCACCTCTTCCACTTTCATTGGACCTCCCTGCTTTTCCGCTGCTGCCGACATTTGATGATGGAGCAGCAGCTTCTTTCTCTGAAAGATACCACATTGTTTTACAATTCAATGGTTAGTAAGATGGAACCGAGGTTAGTAAGATGTCAAAGGAAAGAAGAAAAATATTACCTCGACGCATCTCCTCATCCGACTTCTTCAAATATTGATCGAGTTGCTGAACATGCATATCGACCTGAAGCAATATATTGTCTGGAAAATAATCACTGAAAGAGAGATATGGAATATAGTCCAAGAGATTTAAAGCAAATTTCGTAGCACCATAATGAGAAAAGAAAGGCTTCAACTACAACTCAGAGCTCAGACACAGAAAGGGGGATATCTCAAAAGCAAATAATACCAAGTCATAAGCCTGCATAGCCAAGGCGACTTTCTCATCGGCAATCCTGATACTGTGTTTTTGTTCATCAAGTGCTTCATCCGAGAACCGGGTAAGTGCAGTATCCGGTGGTCCAGCTCTAATTCCCTTTCTTATCTCCTCGATCTCTCTTTCGCAACGTTGTTCATTTTGTCTTTGAATTTCTACTCAAGACAATATTAAAGTTGAAGCCAAACTATAATAACATTAAACGAAAAAAAAAATAATATGTATGCTTTCCCAATATGATCTACAATATGATCTTATCTGTAACATATTTTTTCTTCCAGGAATTCGTAATCAGGGCTAATTTATCATTCCCTCCAAGAATACGAGAAAAGCTACAAAAACAAGATGCTTCGGTAACTCTTAGCGAAAAGTTAAATCAATGTATGGTTTTTACCTTGCAAGCTTTTGTCTAAATCGCGAAGGAGTGCATATTTCTTCTGCAGCACATGGGACAGGGAGACAAGATCTGAGAAAAAGACATCAAAGTAAGATTAATCAGTAGCTGCCATGAAAACAAAGAGCAGAAGATGCATAAACATGCAGAATCAAGTACCTAAATACATGAAAGATAATCATAGGTGAGTAGTTCATATGGCTATCCAAACGAAGGAAGCCAAAAGGAATGTAGGTTTCACTCTTATCATACACCATATAAATGTCCAAAGATCACAAAAACCTTATCAATCTAATCAACACCGATTCGAGAACTGAAACTAGACTTGCTCGAGTAACCATGGTAGTGGACGATTCTTAATCAGTTTGCCCAGATAGATTGCAAACAGTGGCTTCATTTCGAGTGGAACCCATT